TTTTTTTTTTTTTTTTTTTTGGGGGGGGGGGGGGAGACCAGATATTTGATGCATATGTGGTTGGCAAAGAAAATGCTCCTGGCATCGTTGTGCTTCAAGAGTGGTGGGGTGTTGATTTTGAGATCAAGAACCATGCCTTGAAAATTTCTCAGTTTGATTCTGGCTATAAAGCACTTATCCCAGAGTAAGTTTTGATTGGGAGCTATATATTTCTTACTAGACAGTTTTTGGACCTAAGAGTTGAGAGGGCAATAATTTTGGCTGCTTTATGATTTTCTCCTATCCTCTCAGTTTGTATCGTGGAAAGGTTGGTTTAGATGCTGCAGAAGCACAACATTTGATGGAGGGTCTCGACTGGCAAGGTGCTTTGAAGGACATTCAGGCTTCTGTTAACTGGCTCAAGGCTGATGGTTCACAGAAGGTGTGCTATTTGATGAATTTTTTTTGTTTGATTGGAAAACACAAAATGATCTATGCCTCGCTATATGAAGTAGTTCTTTGCAATGTAATTTATTATCCCAAAAAAAAAATTCTTCTCTGTGATGAACCTGTTGTATTTGAGTTGTTAATTTATTGGGCCTATCTCATCTTGGGATTGTTGCACACAAACTCTTTTATACAGACAAATTGTAGTCAAACCCAAGCTTTCTGTATAGAATTTGGAGAGCACAGTATATCAAGGAGTAATAAACTCTTATTTTATGTCCGCACAAATGTTTTCATGATGCTATATTTAATGATTTAATCTCTTCTTGTTTACCTTTTGATCTTCTATTTCCCTTTTTTTTCGTTCCTTAATCATAAGAATACACTTTCTTATTTCAAATTCTCAATATTTGANCAAGGAGCTCCCCATATGGGTGCTCCTCATCTGAGCGCCCCCTTTGGAACCCCTTCAAGCGCCCCGCACAGGGGAGCTCTTCACAAAGGGACCTCTAGCTCTTTCTTTTTATGGTGGAGACCTTCTTTTCCAAGAGGACGAGGGTGAAAATCAAAGCTTGGAGCATGGGAGTCATATCCATGGTAATTCCAAGGGACCTCCTTTTAATCATTGGGACAAAAAAATTAAGGAGGTGCAGAATCAATTGGGTGATGTCTTCAACGCTATGAAGACACGAGGACCCGAGATAGTGGATTACCTTGTAAGTCGAACTAACACACCTTTCAAACCTGACGTGGTGAACTACCCACTCCCTCAAAAATTCAAGATGTCATCTGTCAAAACCTTTGATGGTACGAAGGGTCCATTGGACCACCTTGAAACTTTTAAGACCTTGATGCAATTGCACAACGTCCCTAACAAAATCATGTGCAAAGCGTTCCCAACCACCTTGAAGGGATCCACTCAACAGTGGTTCGCCAAGATCACCCCCACTTCCATCGGCTCATTTGCTGAGCTGAGCAAGTCCTTCGTGTTGCACTTTATTGGAGGACGCCGTCACCAGAAGCCTGTCACCCACCTGTTCAGCAGAAAGTAGGACCGAGATGAGAGCCTGCAAAGCTACCTCACTCGTTTTAATGAGGAGGTCATTCAGGTTGAAGAGCCCAATGAAAAAGTGAGCATGATCGCCTTTTTGGGAGGTCTTCGGTCATCGAGCTTTCTTTTCTCCGTGATGAAACACCCCACCAAAGAGCATGCCAGAACTATTGACAAAAGTTTAAAATTTTATGAATGTTGAGAAAATCAACAGGTCCACGCAAGGTGAATCATCTCTCGAGGGTTGCCAAAAAGCTTGGCCTACCTCTACACTGTTCTTAAACAAGTAGTCTATCTCCAGCTTAGCGACTTTCTCGAGGGTCGCCAAAAAGCTTGGTCTACCTCTACACTGTTCTTAAACAGGTAGTCTATCTCTAACTTAACAACTCTCTCAAGGGTCGCCAAAAAGTTTGGCCTACCTCTACACTGTTCTTAAACAGGTAGTCTATCTCCAACTTAACGGCTCTCTCAAGGGTCGCCAAAAAACTTGCCTACCTCTGCACTGTTCTCAAACAGACAGCTTATCTCTAGCTTAGAGGCTCTCTCGTGGGTCACCAAAAAAGCTTGACCTCTGCACTGTTCTCAAACAAGCAGAATATCTCCCGGCTCTCTCACGAGTCACCAAAAAAGCTTGGCATCCGCTCTGCTCTCAAGCAAGTAGTCTATACCTCAAGTATAATAACTCTCTCATGGGTCGCCAAAAACTCAGTTTCAAAAAGTGTAGCTCTCTCACGAGCAATCCTCAAACTCTGTCTTGCTCTCGCGTAAGCAGTCTGTCTCTCTCTTTAGGTAATCATGTTAAATATTTTAATATTTGAAATAACATTATTTTTGTCATCATAAGCAGGTTTACCCATCTCAGCTCGATGACATAGAACCGTTGGGGGATGTGATAAGCAGAAATAATCCTTAGAATATCATAGAAGAATTTGATTTTGAGAAGGTGCACTGAGAGGAGCTGGACCATCACTACTGAAAGTGTTTGCCAAACTCTGCCCTCGAGCTCCAGAACTAGGCTGGCAAAGAAATTCCTGAGCAACCCCGCCTGCATGGGCGAGAACTGAACTCCCTACAGGGGCATCCAAAGCTCCTTGGCTACCTGAACTCCTTGAATCATCACCAAAAGTGGCACCCAAAATTTTTTTGTAGCTTGCACTACTCAACCCAGTTCCTAGAGAGGCGTCTGATCCCCTCTGCTTGCCCAAATGGGCAGCCCAGTGCTTAGAGAGGTGTCTGGGCCCCTTTGCTCGTACAAGCGAAAGTAGTCCTGCAGACGCCCAACAATTTGTGCTCGCCCAAAATGGTGCCTCTTGGTGCCTTCATGCCAAGACCAGTCTTTTTTCCACCTCCCTGCCCACTAGGATCAGGGCCCCTAGGCGCTTGATGGACCAGATTAGCACGCCCAGCGTGTAGGCCAGCATGCATGAAGACTTAAGCAGCCCTCTCACCTACTGCACGAACTGTAGCAACGCACAGCGATGCCGCCTGCTCGCCCAGGCCCTTCTCGGCGCCTGCCTTCCCATCTCCACGCCAGACCACCCCTCCTACCCGAGCAGGCTGCTCCTCAAGACGACTTGAAGTGCCGCTTAGGCAATTCTCCAACTCACTCAAGGCCTCTTACTCGCCCAAGTTCCTCAAGTCAGTACCCTAAAAGGTGCCCAAGGCCTTTTGCTCACCCAAAACAGCGTGCCCAATTGCATGGTTGTCAAGAGCAGTGCCTACTCGCCCAAAACTGCGCGCCAGCACGTTTGCTCGCTATTTTAGTCATAAATTTTACTACGTAAGTCAAAATGGGACATATTATATATCAAATTGAAACTCTCAACAAGCTGAACAAAACTCATTACCAATGGTAATGAGCTTTCCAAAAAAAGTTCAAAAAACGTCCAAAAAGAGGTGTTTTGGCCTCCCAAAGTTTTTAAAAAAAAAAAAAAAATTTGCTCTAGGAGGTTGTATACTCGCCCAAGAGGTGGCTTGCTCGCCAAGGAGGTGGCCTGCTCGCCCAAAAGTTGATTGTTCGCCCAAAAACATGCCCTTAGCTCCCTGCTCGCTATTTTGACCGTAACTTTTGGTTTGTAACTCAAAATGGGGCTTATTATATACTAAATCGAAACTCTCGACGAGCTGAGCAAAACTCATTATTTTTAGTAATGAGCTTTTAAAAAAAAGTCCAAAACACGTTCAGAAAAAGGTGTTTTGGCCTCCCAAAATTTAAAAAAAAAAAAAAAAATTCCTGCTCGCCCAGAACAGTGCTTTGCTCACCTGGATAGCTGCCTGCTCGCCCAAGTTGCTTGCCTAGCTCACTGCTCGAAATTTTGGCAGTAACTTTTATTCTATTGCTTGAAATAAGACTTATAATATATCAAATCAAAACTCTTGGCGAGCCCTACAATACTCATAGCCTATGGTTGTGAATGATGCTGTTAAAAATCCAAAAAGGGCCTATAAATGGATGTTTTGGTCTCCCAAAATTTTTTCAGTTATGCTGGTCAGCCGAAAATTCAAATTCAACTTAAATGCCCTCATTTTCAAATTCTGTTGGACACAGGGCATTGGGGGGCAAATGATGGGCTAGGCCTAAAGGCCCAACCCATGTTATAAGCCTAGTCCGAGCTAAATGCCCAAATTCCAAGAGATCTAGTTAGTCAAGCCCAAAGGAGTCTACACCTAGATAACCTTATCAAGATCAAGGAGTTACATCAGCAGGGGAGCATGCACAGTCATCCAAGAGCCTCCTCTACCACCTTGGAGTAAGGGTCATCCAAGAGCCTCCTCTACTACCTTGGAGTAAGGGTCATCCAAGAGCCTACTCTACCACCTTGAAGTAAGGGTCATCCAAAAACCTCCTTTATGCCACCAATGGAGTATCCAGTAGTCTTACCCTCGCAGCCTGGAGAGAGTCAACCTCCTTCATTCTTGACCAAGTCCTTTGGAGAGCACACCAACCGTCACACCTCGCCCGTTGAGAAGATGATAGATTGCCTCCACCGAATTAGCTACCTAATTACTATCAAACGGTCCTAAGTCATAATGATTGTCAGAATAATCATACAATTACTACGTCAAACCACTATAAATTGTAAGTTCCTTTGACACTTGGGGCCATTAGACTCATTTGGGCATAATTCTCTCATTCCCTCTCAAAGCTCGTAATCTTGTGCTCTCCCTCCACATCGGAGATAATAAAATTTCGACGAGTCTAGCCATTCAAAGTGGACGTAGGTCGTATTGATCGAACTACTATAAATCTTGTCTTCTCTCCCCTTTTACATATTGCATTTTATACTATAACTTGATTAGTGGTGTGCAAACTAATTTGTGCATCATCACTATATGAAAATAACATCATATATGTAATTATATGCCTATATATGTATATATATACATACATCTCTGTGTATATGATACAAATNCTTAGCGACTTTCTCGAGGGTCGCCAAAAAGCTTGGTCTACCTCTACACTGTTCTTAAACAGGTAGTCTATCTCTAACTTAACAACTCTCTCAAGGGTCGCCAAAAAGTTTGGCCTACCTCTACACTGTTCTTAAACAAGTAGTCTATCTCCAACTTAATNACCCCTGCTTCCATCGGCTCATTTGCTGAGCTGAGCAAGTCCTTCGTGTTGCACTTTATTGGAGGACGCCGTCACCAGAAGCCTGTCACCCACCTGTTCAGCAGAAAGTAGGACCGAGATGAGAGCCTGCAAAACTACCTCACTCGTTTTAATGAGGAGGTCATTCAGGTTGAAGAGCCCAATGAAAAAGTGAGCATGATCGCCTTTTTGGGAGGTCTTCGATCATCGAGCTTCCTTTTCTCCGTGATGAAACACCCCACCAAAGAGCATGCCAGAACTATTGACAAAAGTTTAAAATTTTATGAATGTTGAGAAAATCAACAGGTCCACGCAAGGTGAATCATCTCTCGAGGGTTGCCAAAAAGCTTGGCCTACCTCTACACTGTTCTTAAACAAGTAGTCTATCTCCAGCTTAGCGACTTTCTCGAGGGTCGCCAAAAAGCTTGGTCTACCTCTACACTGTTCTTAAACAGGTAGTCTATCTCTAACTTAACAACTCTCTCAAGGGTCGCCAAAAAGTTTGGCCTACCTCTACACTGTTCTTAAACAGGTAGTCTATCTCCAACTTAACGGCTCTCTCAAGGGTCGCCAAAAAACTTGCCTACCTCTGCACTGTTCTCAAACAGACAGCTTATCTCTAGCTTAGAGGCTCTCTCGTGGGTCACCAAAAAAGCTTGACCTCTGCACTGTTCTCAAACAAGCAGAATATCTCCCGGCTCTCTCACGAGTCGCCAAAAAAACTTGGCATCCGCTCTGCTCTCAAGCAAGTAGTCTATACCTCAAGTATAATAACTCTCTCATGGGTCGCCAAAAACTCAGTTTCAAAAAGTGCAGCTCTCTCACGAGCAATCCTCAAACTCTGTCTTGCTCTCGCGTAAGCAGTCTGCCTCTCTCTTTAGGTAATCATGTTAAATATTTTAATATTTGAAATAACATTATTTTTGTCATCATAAGCAGGTTCACCCATCTCAGCTCGACGACATAGAACCGTTGGGGGATGTGATAAGCAGAAATAATCCTTAGAATATCATAAAAGAATTTGATTTTGAGAAGGTGCACTAAGAGGAGCTGGACCATCACCGCTGAAAGTGTCTGCCAAACTCTGCCCCCGAGCTCCAGAACTAGGCTCGTGAAGAAATTCCTGAGCAACCCCGCCTGCATGGGCGAGAACTGAACTCCCTACAGGGGCATCCAAAGCTCCTTGGCTACCTGAACTCCTTGAATCATCACCAAAAGTGGCACCCAAAATTTTTTTGTAGCTTGCACTACTCAACCCAGTTCCTAGAGAGGCGTCTGATCCCCTCTGCTTGCCCAAATGGGCAGCCCAGTGCTTAGAGAGGTGTCTGGCCCCCTTTGCTCGTACAAGCGAAAGTAGTCCTGCAGGCGCCCAACAATTTGTGCTCGCCCAAAATGGTGCCTCTTGGTGCCTTCATGCCAAGACCAGTCTTTTTTCCACCTCCCTGCCCACCAGGATCAGGGCCCCTAGGCGCTTGATGGANTTTTTTTTTTTTTTTTTTTTTGGGGGGGGGGGGGAGACCAGATATTTGATGCATATGTGGTTGGCAAAGAAAATGCTCCTGGCATCGTTGTGCTTCAAGAGTGGTGGGGTGTTGATTTTGAGATCAAGAACCATGCCTTGAAAATTTCTCAGTTTGATTCTGGCTATAAAGCACTTATCCCAGAGTAAGTTTTGATTGGGAGCTATATATTTCTTACTAGACAGTTTTTGGACCTAAGAGTTGAGAGGGCAATAATTTTGGCTGCTTTATGATTTTCTCCTATCCTCTCAGTTTGTATCGTGGAAAGGTTGGTTTAGATGCTGCAGAAGCACAACATTTGATGGAGGGTCTCGACTGGCAAGGTGCTTTGAAGGACATTCAGGCTTCTGTTAACTGGCTCAAGGCTGATGGTTCACAGAAGGTGTGCTATTTGATGAATTTTTTTTGTTTGATTGGAAAACACAAAATGATCTATGCCTCGCTATATGAAGTAGTTCTTTGCAATGTAATTTATTATCCCAAAAAAAAAATTCTTCTCTGTGATGAACCTGTTGTATTTGAGTTGTTAATTTATTGGGCCTATCTCATCTTGGGATTGTTGCACACAAACTCTTTTATACAGACAAATTGTAGTAAAACCCAAGCTTTCTGTATAGAATTTGGAGAGCACAGTATATCAAGGAGTAATAAACTCTTATTTTATGTCCGCACAAATGTTTTCATGATGCTATATTTAATGATTTAATCTCTTCTTGTTTACCTTTTGATCTTCTATTTCCCTTTTTTTTCGTTCCTTAATCATAAGAATACACTTTCTTATTTCAAATTCTCAATATTTGAATTTCTGTGGTCTTGAGGTTTATCTCTTCCCTCATGGAGAGTCAAATGCTTGAGCTCTGCCTGTTTCCTTTTGAAAATTTTCACTTCTACATTTGTAGACCATAACCATGGCTCAAAAACACACTGAATATTCTTGAGGGTGGAAATATAATTATGGCTAAAATTNTATGCCTATATATGTATATATATACATACATCTCTGTGTATATGATACAAAATTAAGAAAAAAGGGGAAAAAAGTGAGATAGACAATATAGGTTTTGTCTTTGTCTTCATCTTTAGTTTCAAAAGAGAGAAACCAGCAAGGGAGAGGAACGAGAGGGAAAGACATAGAGATAGACGAAAAAAAAAGGAAAAAAGCTTTTTACCGTTAACACAAAAAAGAGCCTCATTTTATTTCTAAAGATATTTGAAAGTTAGATCTCATTAATTGTTAATAGGATATATACGTGTTTCTAGTTTTGGATGTTTTTAAAAATATTATTTTTTATTATTACATATTTGGACATTGTTTTTAAATCAACGTGACTTAAAAAAAATAAAAATACTTCACAAACATGCTATTATTTTAATTTTTTTACAAAAATTGAAAAAAAAACACAAACACATGGATACCAAATGACACTTAAGAATTATTATTTTTCAAAATATTGATCAAAATATATCAAAAAATCATGAATTATCTTAAAATATTCTAAAAGAATTGTACAAATGCATTGAAATATCACAAAATATCTCAAAACATTATATAACGCCCCGAAATATTAGAATTTCGATTACATTACTAAATTATTTTGATCTCTTTAAAAATGAAAACGTCNAAGTCCTTTGGAGAGCACACCAACCGTCACACCTCACCCGTTGAGAAGATGATAGATTGCCTCCACCGAATTAGCTACCTAATTACTATCAAACGGTCCTAAGCCATAATGATTGTCAGAATAATCATACAATTACTACGCCAAACCACTATAAATTGTAAGCTCCTTTGACACTTGGGGCCATCAGACTCATTTGAGCATAATTCTCTCATTTCCTCTCAAAGCTCGTAATCTTGTGCTCTCTTTCCACATCGGAGATAATAAAATTTCGACGAGCCTAGCCATTCAAAGTGGACGTAGGTCGTATTGATCGAACTACTATAAATCTTGTCTTCTCTCCCCTTTTACTTACTGCATTTTATACTATAACTTGATTAGTGGTATGTAAACTAATTTGTGCATCATCACTATATAAAAATAACATCATATATGTAATTATATGCCTATATATGTATATATATACATACATCTCTGTGTATATGATACAAAATTAAGAAAAAAGGGGAAAAAAGTGAGATAGACAATATAGGTTTTGTCTTTGTCTTCATCTTTAGTTTCAAAAGAGAGAAACCAGCAAGGGAGAGGAACCAGCGGGAAAGACATAGAGATAGACGAAAAAAAAAGGAAAAAAGCTTTTTATCGTTAACACAAAAAAGAGCCTCATTTTATTTCTAATGAGATTTGAAAGTTAGATCTCATTAATTGTTAATAGGATATATACGTGTTTCTAGTTTTGGATGTTTTTAAAAATATTATTTTTTATTATTACATATTTGGACATTGTTTTTAAATCAACGTGACTTAAAAAAAATAAAAATACTTCACAAACATGCTATTATTTTAATTTTTTTACAAAAATTGAAAAAAAAACACAAACACATGGATACCAAATGACACTTAAGAATTATTATTTTTCAAAATATTGATCAAAATATATCAAAAAATCATGAATTATCTTAAAATATTCTAAAATAATTGTACAAATGCATTGAAATATCACAAAATATCTCAAAACAATATATAACGCCCCGAAATATTAGAATTTCGATTACATTACTAAATTATTTTGATCTCTTTGAAAATGAAAACGTTTCGAAACAAAATTTTAATCCTTACATTTAATTAAAAAAAATTGGCCACCAAAACTCATCATGTTGCCACTAATGTGTACAAATGTTTTTTTCTAATCACCTATTGTGATTTGTGACCACTTAACTTAAATTTTGACAGTTTTACTTGAATGTTTTCGCTGATGACGCATTATACGATACCGTATAAACCAAGTGCTTAGTCGTCATCAACAACGACCCTGCAATTATAAAACTTGAGCCGGTGCAGAGAGTGGAAGCTATGCTCTCCTATTGGCTATTGTTCCAAAGTCTTCACTAAAACTCTCACCTACTCCACTGTCTTCGGCCTCGTAAGGCTCCACCGGTTCTCGGCTTCATCAAGTTCGTTCCATGGCGGATTCTGCGCAGTTCAAGAAAATTCAGATTCAGAGAGACGACACGGTGAGCCTGACCTGCTCTTCAGTCTTACTTCTTCCCATTGCCTTCAATTCTGTCGGATTTACAACTTTATTACAGTGTTGTTTCAATTAGTTTTTCCATCATGGCTTTGATTTGATCGTCAATGTGAGAGAGTCAGAGACTGTATTGATTTTTAGTAAGAACTATTGACTGTTTAATTTGATCAGAATCGATTTGCTAAGATCGTATACTATTCGTTGCCGATGTTAATTTTTAATTTCGGATGAATCAATTTCTTCGATGGAGTGTTTGGACGAGGAATGAATTCGTTTCCATTTCCTATGAATAATTCTCGAAATTTCGAGAGAGAAAGGTAGAGATAAACGGAGAAACATGTACGGATAGGAGATCTTTGCCATGGAATTTACTATAGATAGTTTTTTGGAAAAGATACTGAAGATAATGTAAGATGAATTAGCGAGAATGAGTTACAGAATGACCATTCCAATCAGGCCCTGAAGTACTATTAGGCCACATTGAACTGCTTGATTGACTTAACAAAAAATCACTTAAACTCAAACTTTCGTTGGATGGTTTAGCACACTTGTCTAGGAAATATGGTGAGACTCCGGTTTTACTTTTGTTTTGTTGAGTTTCTTGCATTACCTTTTAGTACTTGTGCTAGTTAATTCATTGCAACTAATGAATGCTAAGCACTTTTTGTGTTTTCGGCGTCCCTTTTTTTTTTTTTTTGGGGGGGGGGGGGGG